AATGCAATATCGCTATTTTTGAGAAAAGTGATCATAATCCGTTCTTCTCCTTTAATCTCTGAATAAAAAAATTTTTTTAAATATTCTGCTTAATCTCATCTTCATTATTCCCAATTTTTGACACCCTAGTTCCTCATTGTAAACACTATTCACATTTCTTTTTATGACACATCTTGCTTGTTTATAACGTAAAGATTAAATCAAAACCTTGATTTCAATATGAAGCAATATTTAAAGAACATTAAAGGAATATCAATGAAAACGAAATTTTTTATCTTTGAATTTTTGTTTCAACATAGATCAAATGAAATATATAAAAAAAAATAGTGACCGTCAGCAAATATGCAACTCCAAGCGTCTGGTAAATAATTACATTACCATCTAAAGCAATGCGTCATTAGATGGAATGAAAATTAACTTGTGTCTTAAACTTTACTCAAATTTTCAAATGATTTTTCTTTTTTCGAAATTTGACCAGCATACTGTTATATTAAGTGAAAACTGATGTAAACCGAAAAAGTAGATAGAGGAAGCTATAAAAGTTGTCAACTGTACCATTTTTGAGAAGCGTGCAAAAGCTTAACACTTTTCACTGATATCTTTTCTTTTGCTTTAATGTAGCTAAGTTTTTAAAAATTTAAAATCGAAAGAAAATATTAAAAAAATATGCAAATTTTGTTAATTAGCTTGCTATAGCGCTTAAACCTTGTTTCTGAATGTTCCAGGTGCACCAAATATGGGTGTACTCTGGGAAGCAGGAAGAAAATGAACTAATCTGTATTTAAAACGAGTAGTGGGAGCAGAAGAAACAAAATTAACATATAAATAGTTTCAAACTTCTATACATACATTTCTCTTACACGGCGACAAAAAAAGCCTCATTACAACTCCCCGAATGGCAACGATAGATAATCGACCAATGATTGCCACTAAAAATGTCACATGCCAAATCTAGCTGAGGTGGCTCAACATATAGCGCTTTTAAAAACGGAAACTGAAATAACCAGAGAGAGCATTCTCACCAAATGTGATCTCTTCCGAACTAATGATATCTATAAACGTAATGTCTCAAAATTATATTTATTACCAATATAAATGTCATTATATTGGTAATAAATATAATATCGGTAATAAATATCAATATAATTAATTAAACATACATTACATCTTGTTATGTGAAACATTGTTTTTTATCTGTATCTAAAACAATTTGTATGTGGCATGTTCTGTGTACCATGTAAACTATAAATAACGACACCAGATGGTGCATGTACTAGTATATAACTATTATGTTTAATTTCTCCCCTTCCTTTCTTAATAAATTTCATTGCAGAAAACTACTATTTTGCTAATGTTATTGCCTCCTTATAATTTCTTAACATGAAAAAATAGTTGTACAAAATTACAACTTAATATCTACTCATCGTCTCAACTGCATTGATATGTTTAGATTGAATTTTGGAGATGGAAAAAATTAAATCTTCTGAATTGATATTGCAATGAACCAATCCGATTTGGTGCTGTTGAAGAGGCAGAAAATATTAAGCTATAATTTTAATTTTTCTTACAACTAATCTTGTTAAGAAAGGACAACTTTCAAGAGCTCTACCACAAGCCGATCAATAAAATACTCAAATTTTTGAATTTTAAACATTCACGTTTTTAATAAGATTTTGCCATCTGGCTGTTGACTACTTTCTTACACCGCTAAAAGATTTAAGGTAATTCTGCCTTATCACCTTCTCTAATGAATACCAGAAGGATATACTACTAATACACCAAATTTTATCCCTAAGTAAATTTGCCATGTCGTACCCACCCATGTCAAACAAATCGTTCTGAAAAATTTAATATATTTCTCTATAATATCCAATATCTCAAAGTCTTTACTAAACCACTCTTTTTCTTTAAATATATAGAGATTTTTCATAATACTAGAGAAAAATATTTGTTTAAGACAAGAAAATATACAACAGTATTAAATCGGAAGCGAAAACATACTCTAAAATTTCAAAAACCGTGTTCTATTTCTATAAACTAATACTTTCAATATATCACAACGCATGTTATATGTATCTTCTTTATCTCTTACTGAATTTCTACAGAAAAAGAAGTAAAGAAGATCCCTTCGGATATATTTTATTTAGAAAAAATTATTTTTCTGCCCAAACATTGTAACCTTGTTCGACTAAGTTTAGTGCAAAATAAATTTCATTAAGAGAACAACTGTTTTGCGAATGTCATTGCGTTCTTCCAATTTCTTAACATGAATAGTTGTACAAAATTTTAGAATTATAACTTAATATCTTCTTATATTCTCCACTGAATAGATGTTTGGATTGATTTACAAAGATGGAAGAATTAAATCAGTGATCCAATCTGATTAGGTGCTGTAGACGAGTCAAAAAATATTAAGTTATAATTCTGAAATCTTTTTACAACTTGTCTCGTTAGAGATGGCAACAAGCGCTACTGCAGGAAAATCGATAAAATCTTTAATATATCTTTAAATAAATTTAATCATTAACGTTTATAATAAGAATTTTTAATCTTAATAATAGTTGTTGGTGATTTTCTGAGACTACCGCTAAAGGAATTTCTTAAATATATTTCTTATAACCGTTATTAAACCGCAGACCCAAATTTGAGTTTACAACTGCCAATTTTCAATTCAGTAGTTTCGTAATTTTGAACCCAATGCAAAACACAAGAAAATTCCTAGGTCAAATATTGGGGGAAATTCATCTTCGTGAAGAATTTTCATATGGAACTAACCGCTATTTGCGTTACATGGAGAGGAAAACCAGGAAACCTCAAGGTTAGTCTGACAGCAAGGAGATTCTAACCCATAATCCGTCTACTTCTAAGGATATTTTACATCTGAAATGTGGTCTGTGCTAACCAGGTGCGGAATTTACGTCGAGCAGCCATCGCTGGGATTCGAACCCGAGTCATCTAATTGGGATGCGAACGCTCTATCCCCTAAGCCACCACTGTCCCACTATAAAATTTAAAATACTTCAGACTTTATCAATCCTTAATGAATTACCTAAAGCTATACTACTAATACACTAAATTTTAATGCAAAGTTAATTTGCCAGCAAATCGTTCTGCGAAATTTAATGTAGTTCACTATAATCTGCACAGAAAGTATTTCCTAAGTCACTACTTTTCTTTAAATATGTAGAGATTTTTCATAATACTAAGGAAAATATTTATCGAAGAGAGGAAAATATACTTACAACAGTATTAAATCGGAAGAGAAAACATACTCTAAAATTTCAGAAAGCGTGTTCTATTTCTATAAACTAATACTTTCAATATATCAAAACGCAAGTAATATGAATCTTACATCTTCCTTATCCCTTACTGAATTTCTTCAGGAAAAATAAATAAAGAATATCCCTTCAAATATATTTTTACTTAGAAAAATTTATTTTTCTAACCAAACATTTTAAACTTGTTCAACTAAGTTTAATGTAAAATATTTCACTTTATATACTCGAAATCTTTTCGAATAATACAGCAATTTTTTATTTTTTAAATTTAAATAAAAGTAAAAAATTTAGCAATATATTCGGTTCTGACACCAAAAGTTTTGGTTGTTTTTCTGTTCTTTGAATGCTTAAAATTCGTGTTTCCAGGTGTACGTCGTATTGTATTTATGCAGATTTCATTTCCAATACATTTCAAGTTTATTAAAATACGACATTCAATGTGCTATGTTTATTTTTCACGTAGTTTTTTATTTCCTTGAATAAGATTAAATAAACTACAATAGGAATTCGTTCTCTCTTTTAAATACATAAAATTTACAAGGATGGTACAAATTATGTTTTCTCTTTCGCAATAAATAATTAAAAATTAAAGTAAATAAAAATAGTAGTTATTTATTAGAATTCTGTCTAAATTTCTATCTAAAAATCTAATTCTAAATTCTATCTAAACTCTATCGAAAAACTGGAAAAAATATCCACGAAGAATTACAATTATTTCTTTACTAAAAAACAACTTTAAAAAAAGCACCTTTTCTTACAATTTTAGACAACTAATTAGAGAATTTTAGCAAATTTTCAATTAGTTTGAGAAACGTGATAAAAGCTGAATTTTTGTCTAATTTCGCAACTTAATTTACGGTTAAAACTAATTAGTTTTAATATTTGAGGTCAACCCTATATACTATAACGATTGGCAGTTAGTCCATGATAATCCGATCATTAAAACAAAAGTTATTCACAGTGATGTTTTTCTTGTCATTTAATGTTTGCTAAAAATTATTAAAATATTCAAATTTGCAACTTTTATAACGATGAAAGATTACCAATAGCAGCGTCCATTAAGATTTGTTATTCTGATAATTTTTGGGGCAAATCAGTTTAAAGTAAAAACTTCTGACGCAAAAATTTTGTTGTGAAGATTTCGCATTGTTCAAGGTACAATAATGTCAGAAGTTGTTGTTTGGGTCGCTGACTCTTCTGAAATTAGCAATCTTATAACATAAAGTAAGGGGAATTCATTGAATTTGCAATATATATATTACGTCGACAAATTGTTCCACCCAAATATTAACTTCTCTGTAATTTTCACCTTGCATTCTCACTGAAAGCAAAATTACGTGATGTACTTAAGGCGATTGGCAACCAAATTACAGGTAAACTTATTTTACTGAGCGAGGTTTTTTGCTAATTCTAAATTGTTGGAAAAATTTTCATCTATAATATTTTTTATCGAAAATATAAAACTTTTTAGTTTTCAATTAGGTAAAAAAATTCTTAACCCTAAAAGTGTCATGATATTTTTAATTATATGTAAAATAAGACTTTGAGTGTGAAAAGGAATAGCAAACGATTAAACGATTTGAGCAAACGCTTCAACTAATGGAAATTTTTTCAATCGTTTTCTAATTTTTTACTTTTATTTTTGAGCAGTATAAAAAAATATAAAAGGTATCAAGTTCTAAAATATGAATACAGAATGAAAGGAATATAATGGAATATTAATTTTCATGTTGTAGAACATATTCCAGAAGAAACAATAAAAAGAATTATCATTTTGATGAAACTAAAGTTCGGAATCATTTTTCATCACACATCCAGCACTCAAACCCCATTCGTGCGCAAATATGATCACCTGCAAAAGATAACAGGAAAAAAAAAGCCATCAATGTAAACAAAAAAGAACACCTCAATTTCGGAAAATCTCATTCATCAATTACGTAGATACCTACGAAATTAGATGCATTCAGTTTTGGTTCTTTTCTGGCATTAATAAAGAACAGCGATGTCGTTTTTTGGGAATATCCGTAGGCTATTAATTAAGTAAATGAAATGCGTTCATTAGCATGAGACAATAAGCTTTCTGATGTGTAACTTGCAGGCATATTTATTCTATTACCATAATTTTCTATTAATTATGGATGGTTTTAATCTGGTTACAGATGCAATGTTCTAATTTATTTTGATTCCGTGTACTACTGTTTTGTGTTCTAGCGCTATTCTTTGTTCCTGTTCTCTTGCGACTAATTTTGTTGATGTATTACAGTTCGTTAAGAGAAATCTTTTAACTCGTTGAACGAAATGGCATAAATTAATTATATTTCTATGTTTATTAGGAAGTCATATTCGATTTAGTTTAACAGGAATAGATTTTGAAGTATGTAGAAGAATACACATTAGTTATAGAATTATGTCAGAAACTGAAACCTTATCTTCATAGAGCTTTGGTTGGAATTTTTAATTTCTGTTTAAGTAATTTTTATTTTTGTATAAACGTTTTCTTTGTACTTACTTGAAAAGAGAAATTCTATTAGTGATTGTTTTCCATAAAGTAAGAAATTAAAAAAGGCGTGTTGTCTAATTAGCAATAATACAAATCAGCGGTTCTCAAATGGTGTTCCGCGGAACCCAAGGGTTCCGAGATTTGGGAATTTTGTTTCAACAAGTAATCTTTTTGAAATCTGTAATTATATATCCAGTTAACAATCCATTATTTACTTAATATTTCTGTAATTTTTATGAAATTATTTAATTGAAGTGCTTGTCAAAAAAGAAATTTTAAAGGAATGTTTCTTTTCTAATAACAGTCTAATAAATGAATTATGAAAAGGATATCCATTTATGAAAAATTTCATTGGTGTTTTCAAATCGAATAAAAATACCCAAATTCGACAAAGAAGAAGTATGTTTCTCTGATAATCATTCTCAATTTTTATTTTCTTCCTTTTTCGTTTTTATGTTGATGTAAACCATATTTCAGCTCATTTATTTTCAGTTTATGCATACATTAAATTCAAATTAAGAACTTGACTGAATACCACTCTAGACCTGCGAATTCAACTGCCTGACTTAAAAATCAATTGTAAGACTAATATTGATAAAACGATAGAATGAAAAAATTTCATTCTTCACTCATTCACTACATATTTTCAAACTAATAAAATTCAGATCATTAGATATTTTCAAAAATATTAATAGTCTTTCAATAATGAATATATTCACAGTTGCTGATGAAACTTATACATTCAGACTCGGGGTTCCGCCAAAAGAAGCTCGTTCATTTTGAGTTCCACAGTCGAAAAGAAATTGGGACCCGTTGATATAAACATACGATCAATATAAATAACAAGCAAAATTTTAAAGAACAGAATTATTGTACAGAAACATTTAGGTTAAACTCTTTTTCCTTTAACTCATTCGTGCTTAGCATACTTTTAAAATCGAAACAATTTTTTTCTAAAGGCTAAATAAACCTAAAATTTTTAAAAAAAACTTTTTTATTAACATTTATCTAAAAACTATCCACCTTAGGCTACCGACTTATGTCTTAAAGCTAATCAAAGAACCGGGATCGTTGCGAAATATCGCCATGGATAAACATATCAACATACCTTGTTGAAAACAAACAATAACATACAGGGTGTTTCGTAATGGCCGCCTTTATTATATATTTTTAGAATTTTTGTCAGAAAGGAATTTAAAAAGCTCATTAAGGATCGTAATTCAATATTTAAACGAAAAATAATTTTAAAATACGCTTATCATTGAAAAAAAAAATTTTTTTTTAAGTTCACTTGTTAATATGTTAAGATGATTTACTTCAAACTGTATTTTTATGTTAAAATCAGTTCCATTTTGATTATAACAACAACAGTCAACTCTTTTTAAAAGCAGCGCAATAGTTTAAATAATCGGTTTACTAGTTTTCTCAATTGCGCTTACATGTACTCTAGATCAAAAATTTAAAATGCACGCATCATGTCATGACCATTAAACAATCATGTTTTTTTTTTTTAAATTTTTCATATTGAAACTTAATGATTTTAGCATTACTTGGACTCTTTTTCCAAATGTTTTTTTTTAATACTTTTTTCTGAGCTTTTTTTACGTACTTTTTTTCCGTGCTTCTAAATTTGCGACCCCTTATTTGCATAAGCTTTTCTTAACTTCATATTTTAGTTTGGATTCTAAAGAGCAATACACTTAGTGAAAAGTGTCCCGCTCTGTTAGCAGGTTTACCTATCAAAACTCTCTAGTAACATTCTTAACTTCTACGCTATTGCTACAACCACTTATTTGNAAGATGATTTATTTCAAACTGTATTTTTATATTAAAATCAGTTCCATTTTGATTATAACAACAACAATCAACTCTTTTTAAAAGCAGCGCAATAGTTTAAATAATCAGTTTATTACTTTTCTCAATTGCGCCTACATGTACTCTAGATCAAAAATTTAAAATGCACGCATCATGTCATGACCATTAAACGGTCATTAAACAATCATGTTTTTTTTTTAATTTTTCATATTAAAACTTAATGATTTTAGCATTACTTGGAATCTTTTTCCAAATGTTTTTTTTATACTTTTTTCTGAGCTTTTTTTGCTTACTTTTTTTCCCGTGCTTCTAAATTTGTGACCCTTTATTTGCATAAGCTTTTTTTAACTTCATATTTTAGTTTGGATTCTAAAGAGCAATACATTTAGTGAAAAGTGTCCCGCTCTGTTAGCAGGTTTACCTATCAAACCTCTCTATTAACACTCTTAACTTCTACGCAATTGCTACAACCACTTATTTTCATTGCATTGTAGGAATGATAATAATTTGAATAAAGTAAAATAATGAAGACTGCAATCGAACTTTCTATCTCCTTAAATTCAGTGCCAACGGTTAAATTTCAAAATAAAATTATTTTTGCTTTTAAACATAACTATACATAAGATTTAATTGAAAGCCTTAAATCTTCCATTTCTATTTGTAATATTTTCATTTATCCTTAAATTTCAACTACGGCTTTTTAAATTTACTACAAAATTTCATCAAAACATTCTCGCGACTCGGTTACGAAAGCAACAATCTGACAAAGCAGACTATATTTATTATTCGACTTACAAATAAATTCAAAATTAGGATACTTTTAAAATTAAGCTTAACTGTAGGATTTAATTGCTTATCTCGAATCTTAAATTCGAGAATTATCTCGAATTTCGATTTGGAATATTTTCTTTAATCCTTAAAATTCACCAACGGCGTTTAATTTTACGACCGAATTCCATCGAAATATCCTAGCGATTCTCTGTTACGAAAGCAACAGTCAAACAAAGCAGACGATAGTTATTATTCTACCTGCGTCGTTTGAATATGTAGTGAAGAGAAGTGAAGAATTCTTACATTTTGGTGGAAACTTCAGAGTTCTGAAACACGGGGAGGCATTCCGGAATTCCCCTTCGTCTTTTAAGATATCGTCATTTGAGGAATGCACTTTATGGCCGGCTTCTGCCTTTGAATATTGATCAGGGCTTGCAGTTTCTTCCATTAAGCCCCTCCCATTTCCGTTGATAGTGGGTGGATTTACGACAACTGATGTGTTGCCTTCCTCACTACAGCTGCAAACTTTACCTGTAGGGATTTATAAAAATCAAAAAATAATAATAAAATAGCCATTTACCTATCTTAATAAAATGTCTTTTATGAAGAAAGTTAAAGAAAGTGCAGCTAAGTTTTCGTGTTGATGAATATTTTTTAAAGCAAATGCAAAAACTTTTGGGGTAAAATCATTCTTCTTATTTTATTATTTATTATAATTATTTATTTCATGTTGTAATTGTTGAGCAAAGAAATTTTTACGCCATTTAAAGCTTTGTATTAAATAAAAAACCGTATAAGAACCGAATCGGTGAAATATTCCTTGAGAAAGGAGAATTTAGTAATTCGACTTTTTTAAAACATTTTAATTCAGACACAATTCGACCTTTTAACTCAAATTGTGTATTTTGCCATTTAAAATTACGCAGGTTAAAAGACTTTATACTTTACAAGTCAAAAAATGCTTTCGATTATTAATAAATAACATACTGAAAAAATAATAAATAAATCATTAAAATCCGTTTTTTGGAATTAATTTATGTTTGGATAAACGAGTTTAACAATTTTGACAACAATGTTTTAATTAAATTGAAATTGAATAACTAAATAAATTAAGTCATTTCGCAAAGGAATCAGTGAATTAAAAATTTCTTTAACAGACTGTAATACAGCAACAAAAAGAACATCTCTGCATACATCAACACTTATTAGTACTGAAATATAAAAGAAATTATAATACTGGAAATAATAAAAAAAATTAGAGCATTGTATATGAAACCATATTATAACGCCTGTTCCATCTATCATTAAGAGATAATTATGGCGTCGTTTTACGTTTCCGAAATAGTATAGGGAAATACGCAAAAAGTTAAATTGACTTGAAGTTGCCCACACTTTTAGTAAAACTAATGATACCGTATTTTAAAGATTGCTGCTATTCCTCCTTCCTCATAGTCAAAAATTCTAATTTGTCGAAAACAAAATAAGTTTATTCGATGATAGTGCTCCGTCTAAGTTCGTAACTTAATCGTCATCACTAATTATGAACATCACATATGTGATACTTAACCCGTTTCAAGGGCCCTAATAAAACCTATTGCCACAATACCTATGTAACTAAAATTAACTAAGAATCACTTTTTATTATTATCATATGATATATTCGCATCATATCATATATAATCATATCATATATGTCATATTTGTTAGTATCATATCATATATTAGGTGAGATCTTCAACCTTTAAAAATTCAATATCTTAATATATATAAATATCAAAATATTAATTACATATTAACTTAAAATTTGCTCAATTTATTCAACGTTTTTTATTTTGCTCTCTCAATAGATTGGACATCATTCTAGAGTTGTTTGTTCCAAATTTGATGGCATACTTTGCATACATTTACTCTGTTAATTTTAGATCTTAATAATAGTTTTAAGATGTGCTTTTCTAGTGCAGATATTCATTTTAATTTGATTCGTTTTTAAAAACGCACGAATTTTTTTTTTTTAGTTGAACTACTTATTTATAATAATTTTCTTTCTATTTGCACTTTTATCTCAATTTTTGATCTAAAAGCATTTCATAATTTCCAAGAGCTTTCTCTATTTAAAAGAACTAAAATCCACTAAAAAGTCATTAAATTGTATTATCACAACTAATCATAAAAACCTAAACAACTTAGAGCATTATGCAAATAATTCTACAACAGTAGGTCCATTTTAGTTCTTTGTCGTTCAGGTAATTCTTAAGAATAATTTTGTTCTAGCCGAAAACAGGGAAAATGACTCAGGTGAGATTTTCTAATAATAAGAAATCTAGATTGAAATATAAGTTCGAAGATTTTTCTAAATAAAATTTTTATATACAGCAAAGGTATTACAGTGCAGTACCCAATCCAAGGGACACATGCAGCCATAATACAAATAGGTTCATCAAATGATGCAATATCGCCTTCATTAATGATACCAGTACATATTGTATACGAAATTATCGTGTATATTATCTATAACTGTCATTATCAAATACGATAATATTGCAATCATTATAGATAACAAACCTTATCAAAAAGTTAACTTAGAGAATATTATACAAAACAATGAAGGGGGAATATACTTGAGGGTGCGCCTTGGCGAAATTGGCGACTTATGTTTGGCGCTATACTTGTTTGCCCGGAACGCCGTGGGAACCACAAACAAGACATTTATATCTATTACTAATTAAACCTTCATTCATACACCAGTCAATCACTGTTTTTTCTTCATTGTTATTAAAATCGTACAGAAACTTAAGATTTATCTTATTGACAGTATTCATTTTTAGTACCAGAAGCAAAAATAACCTTACCAGCCGGTATCCAAAGTAGAACTAACGGATCTCTGAAATTGCATTTAAAAATTCATTTAAAAACAGCGCTAAGTTCTAAACTAATCAGAATCACGATTAAAACCTGAACCAATCAGAATCACGATTGGTTTTCAACATCGCCCAGCTTGGTGATCGCGATCACAACTTGGCGGGGGCACCCTCAAGTATAGTCTACCCATCCATCGTGGTATATTGTTAAATAACGATAACTTTGACTGCACATACAATAGCTAATACATGAGCACTAATATTCGCCTAGTACCCACATAATTCAATTTACTCATAATTTTATTAAATGTTGTATCTCTACTTCGTTTTTATTTTACTTGAAATAAAAAATCGTAAGATGTTCGTTACTTTGATCAGCGTCCACATCTAATGTATTTTGCCAGTAAAGATGTGCTATTTTTCCATACATATCTTCCCACTTCTTTCGTATACGATGCTCCCTATATATTGCATCTTGTTGAATTTGACAGCTGTGTAGGTCAAAGGGTATTACACGAGGATATTCGTGCCATTTTTTTATCCGAGACATGATATTTAGTCTTAGAATTTCAGTTTTTTTTTTCCGTTTGAAATTTACGAGAAATTTAATGACAATCAAAACAAATAATAATTCTTGAAAATTTGACTTTTTTTTCAGCGCTGCCAATCCAGAAAAAAAAATTTCTCAAGGGTGCAACCTTTGGAAAAGCTGAACTAGATCAGTAATTTAACTTATGTATCACGCTGTCTCATTATACTAAAATGTACTGTCCCCAAAACAAAGCTTCTTCTGTTTGACTGGCAACGCCCTCTATGCAAATAATGGTTGAAATTGTCTGCTATGCCTTATCATCAGTTCTGGTTATATCTGGACAAAGCCAAATTATGATTTGGGCAAGCAAAATAAATATTTTCTTTAAATTATAAAATATAACACGTTAAAAAAATTTTTTCCAACTTAGTTTCAAAAAATCAAATAAGTTAAAACCGAAACCATGAATAGTTCCATAAGTTAGAGATGTTTTTAATAATTATTTATGCATCTCTAACTTCTGTTATTAAAATCAGTGAAAGCATTTAAAGTGATAAATAGAATTTAAAACAAATATTGTTACATTTAAAAATAGTAATTGCAAAGTATTGAATCATTTCAAAGGCACGATATCCTTTTTTACAGCATGAAAATCCAATTTGCAGTTCCAGGACTGATAATGTTGCTTATTATCTAATCTTAATAAAGTCTATCGTATGATTCGTACAAAGGAAGTGGTAGATTTTTTTATTTTTTTCCCACAAGAAAGCATTCCTAAGATACAGTAAAAGTAACGCTCTTCAGAACATTAAAGTTCTTAAATATGATTGTTCTTATTCTTTTGTTGCCTATGCAGCAATTACACGTTTCTTAATGTCGAAATTTACTAAGTTAATACAAATAATTTATTACGTTAGTAGCACACTCTAGATCACCAATGAATTACCTAACCAATGTTATATAAACAATTCATTTTAGTTATTAATAGTTCCTGTCTATTTTGATAATAAATAACGTACAATACTAACTTAAACGAAGTTTTTATTAGGCTAAGATCTTTTTCGATGTACCTTTTCTCAGCATTTAAATAAGATATTGCTTCAGTTTTTTCTCTCCACAGAATACTTACATATACATGTTTACACTGTGATAATTGTTAATACACATCTATGCTAGAATTTTTTTTTAAAAAATTATGAACTGAAGAGGACTTTTAATTTTTTTAAAGTTTCATCTTCATTGAGCGAAAATCTTTCATAACTCAAAAAGTATTCCTGTTAACGCTAAAAACTTATCACAGCATACAATTGATATAATCTCAAATATTCCTAAAAAAAATTTCAAAGCGATAACGTAAGTAGTTTCTTAGAAAAGGTACATCGAACATGCCGTACAGACTCCCCTTAAGACACTTAGCTGTGTCTTACAAACTTTCAATGAACAGGAACGCAGTAGTGAACAGGATAATATAAAGATGCCGAGTTCTGAAAATCGAGATTTAAAGAGTGAGGTTAGAATAAGTGTACAACAAGTGTATTTTTGAGATATTCGAGGGTTCAAACTGCAACCGCAACTACTCTGGGAATATTTGAAGTGTATTAGATATATCAGTAGAATAAGTCGAAATCATGCGTGGGAATTAATTTGAATAACAATGGTTCCGAAATTTTGGAATAACTAATTGAAATAATGCCCCGAGTTAAGATTTGATGAATATTTCATAATATGAACGATTTTATAGCTTACAGCTCTAATCAATCAAAAATAAGTTTGATGGCGCGTTCTAATGAATTATTTACCTTGAGTTTCCTACGTTAGATTATCACAAGTAAACTCAACGTTAATAATTTCGCAACGTATGGAACTGACGTCACCGAATTCATATTTTAAAAGGTATATAAAACAACGTGTTTCTTGTACTGATACTTACGCTTTTAAAGTATGTTTGTATTAACTTAATTGATGGAAATTCAACAAGAACTAATGAAATAAAATGTAAGTTATTCGCAAAAATTGTTTAATAAAATATTAGTGTCATTGCTAATTATTTTAGAGAAATTAATGAAGAAAATTAATTAAGAGAAGAATTAAATTAATGAAGAAAAGATACTTATTCATGAATCCAAACCATATGAAATTGCCATGTTGTTATTGACAACAATGATGCTTAGTTAATTTTGGTAATACGTACATACTAAAATGAAAAAATAAGTTTTGCACTAAAAAGCTAAACTAATAGAGAAAAAATATTTCTTCATCTAGAAAAACCATAAGAAATCACCTTATTAATGCAAATGATGCTTGATTAATTTTAGCAATAGTTCCTTTTACTATTATCTTAATTGGGGCTTTTAAATAATAAGTACTTATTATACTAATATTTTCGTTATGATAACTGTATGGAAATAGGTTTTGGTGACCCACCGAAAGAGATGCGTACGGGAGAATATATGTTGATTATGGTAATTTTTGACTATTGGGATTTTGTCTCGCACTATTATTATGCTAAAAGACACTGCATATAATTATCTTCATTTTATTTTACTTCTAAAAGCATGATTTTCTTCATCTGATAACATAAAACCACTGGAAAAAGAAACAAATAAAAAAAAATAGGAATTGTTTGACTTTATTAGTTGTGTTGGTACATGTGTTAGTCTTGTTCGGGGTTTCGTAGTATTAATTAATATTCATTTATTAAGCATTTACTTTAATTTTCACGGGTATTCAGCTGGAGGTAAATATTTTGAATACATCAACATGACAAAATACATTTCAATGTCTAGTTTTAAATAGAATTTTCAAATACAATCGTTGGTTCATTCTAATTTGTTTGAATTATTCTTGAATCGTAACATGAGCTTGGATCCATTTAGATATAGTTTCATTTGCATTTGACACCAAATTAAGTTACTATCATATCATACAGGAATGGTAATATTTGATAATTATCATATTTCCGTATTTTAAATTATTAGCCCCTTGAATTGATAAATTATTTGACTAAAGTTGTACATCCTGCCTTCAACTACTCTATAACTGCATTTTTGATTTCATAAGCTGATTGAATGAAGCAAAAAAATCTGAATATAGCGCACATATAACTAAGTAGCGAAGTAGAAACAAAAATAAAATATAACTTTGCGCTGCTTATGAATAAAGCAGAACAACGTTAATGAAGATCAAATTAAATTACAGAATTGGACAAGAAGATTAGGTATAACTTTGTGCTACGTATGAATAAAGCAAAACAGCGTGAATAAAACCTAATTAAAAGAGCAGAAATGGACCGTCCATTTCTGAACCTTTTATTTGTGCTTTATTCAAGTTGTTGTGATTTATTCAGGTTGTTGTGCTTTATTCAGGTTGTTGTGATTTATTCAGGTTGTTGTGATTTAATCAGGATGTTGTGATTTATTCACGTTGTTGTGATTTATTCAATGTATACACTATCTTCATTCACAATCTAATTTTTATATTTATTTCTCTATACAACACAAAAAAATAACGATTTAATTACCATTTTTAATGCTGTTGCTAAATTTTTATTGGGCAGAAAATCATATGTAAGGTTCTTTAATTATCAAAATAGATCCAGTTTTCTTTCATTACAATTAGCTTCAAATTAATAAAAGTCTTAGAGAAAAATTTTTTTTTACATTTTTACAATTCGCGAACGCAGTGACCTATAGGGGGCGCTGTTATTTGAGACGAATGACTGCTAGCAGGACAACACGTTCGGTTCAGTTGCTCTTGAGATTTTTTCAGTGTAGCATGGTTATGTTCCTTCTTTATTGCGACATATTAAATGTGAACTAGAAACTTGGCTAACTGGAAATAAAAAGAAGAACACTTGTTTATGTAAACAAATGCCACGTTACAACAACCAATCAGGATCAAGGTACCCACACTACGTCACTTGCAGCGATTCCATTCTCGACAAATTGCTCTACTAAACTTAATGATGTCAATTTAAACTTTACATCCCATAATTTTCTGAATCAAATAACTTCAAACTTTAAAGTATGTAAAGTCTTACGTAGTTTAAGTTATACAGTGAAACNTGTACGTAATGGTTTATTCATAGAAGATTCCCGGGGAATTAAAAATATGTCCGTATTGAGAGGCGTCCGTTTTGCAGGAGTGTCCATAACAGGAGGTTTCACTGTAATTAATTTATAAAATGTAGTTTAATTTTGAAAAACAAGTTTTTTGACAACAATTTTTAAAGAAAAGTTTAAAATTTCAATAAAAAAAGAATCCATATCTATAAACTAAAAAACATAAAAGAAAGAATGTTTATAATAAAAAAATTAACCCTGAGAATTCTTCATTTTGAAACGAAAACTTTCATATATAGTAGATTTTTCCCCCTTTAATCTTAATCAGACGTAGAAAACCATTCTATAAAGAACTACTATCATCAAATTAGAAAGAAAAATTTTACAAGTAAATTTTTTATTATAAAATCATAACCAGCTTCAAAAGTCCGGAGAATCCCAAAATAAAATAATCTTTGATTCAAAAATTTTATTTTCAAATAATATATGCATACATTATCACTTCATAACTTTAAAATTTTACATTTGTAAGGACTCGATATAAAATTTAATATGTAACTTAAAAACAGTAAAGCTGAATTCTAGTTAAATTTGATCACTCAAAATTTAAAAAAAAAAAATTACTTACCAAGAAAACATTAAAAACTTGTTAGTAATCACCACAAATGTACTGGTTCAAGTAAGTCTGATGATCCCTTACTGTTGTTTTCCGAATTATATATATCCAGAAATATATACTATTCTATAGAGAAGAATGTGCAAGAACTGTTACAGTTCTTCAACCACAATTAGTCATCGAAATGAAGTAGGAAAGGGGCTTAGTAAGATTCAGAGCAAAAGCAAAAATGGAAAATCCAAATTGAAAGGGAGAATGATTAAAATTTTCCCCTGAGCAGGGGCGTACGCAAGGGGGGTAGGGGTTTAACCCCCCCCCCCCCTTGAGCTCAGACAAAGTGAATTTACAAAATAATACAGACAAAAATAAAAATTTTAGTAGAAATTATGCGGGTTAATATTTTTTAAGACTATATATTTTTATTTGCCTTATGCCTACTTTTTTTTTCTCACGGTATTTCTCAGAATACTGATAAAACATTTACTATAATAGGGTTGTATTTTTGAAACCAAATTCACGTGATACTGTTACGGGCGAGCCCCGATCACTGGTTCCTTTCTGACCTGCCAGTCGCGATAGTTTTCGAGACTGGCTGGCATTCGCGAGGTCTGGAATCCTAGACGTTCTGTCGTCTTTGAGACAATTCGAGAATTTTGTAGATGCGGTNTAGAATGAATGGATTGGCGCTCTTAAGCATTCATAGAAAATTTACCCCAGCTGTCGAAGACATTTTAAACGAACTTGCAAAAAAACCCCGTCGTTTGGATATTACAGTATAAATCAATAAATTTTTAGCGTGTTTGTATACTGGTTTAATTCCCTATTTGTTGGTAAGTCATTTTTTAGTTAAATTCATTGGTTTTCTATGGAATATTCACATTTATATGGTTATTATTTAGGTAGCTGTTACAGTATGAGTAGTTTTTTCTGGCTTGATTTATTCCTACTTTTTAATAAAAATAAAATATTTTACCTCTTATTATAAAAAAAATTATATTCTTAAACTTAAAAAATAAAAACAAAATTTAACTAAACAATGTTGTCGAAATAAAAAGTCAAAATTGTCTAGCTGTCTAAATTAGGGAAGTAATAGTGCTATATTACATACTCGAATTTCTTTTAGTAATTTCTGAAAATTATGAACCCTTGAAAAAATTCTGCGTACGCCACTGCCCCTGAGAGGGAAAAGGGTACAAGAACTGTTTTTACTTTTATTTTAGGTGCCCAAGGTTGTTACGGTGGCATAGAATTGTCGTGTCTAAGACGTTACTTTTTTACTTATTTTGTTTAATTAAATTTGTTGTTAAATGTTGTTTAACGCGTCTAATTATTATTTACATCGAAATCCTTACTGACTCAAATATCTTCATTTTAATTTACAGTGAACTGAACATTAAAAAATTCGTTTTACCGTAATGTAACATCCGTAATAGTATGCGATCACGAAATCGAAAGTTCTCAGTTCACCGAAATGATGTTGGAAGTTCGTTGAAAAGGAAAGCATTAATGAAAAAATGTTCTTGAAATTATGCTTCACTCCTGTTTCAAAATTAGATTTACTGATGTGTTCCAGATTGCTTTGTCAAGTTCTTCAGCTTTTCTCTTAGAGAAATTTTGTTTTGTATAAGGTTAAGGAAAATACACGTCCTACCTATGCTGTTGTTCTGTTGGAACTGAATGAAAACTTAATGAAGTAGCCTGAAAAAGTTTCGCCTCGATAGCGAATATATTTCGTTATCCTTTATTGAACGGTATTTGCGTGTAATTTTTATTTGTCATCTTTTCTTAGAACCATTCTCAGCGAATTATTAAGTTTAATTTTTTTTAATTAAAGGATTGAAATGGAAATTTGTGTTCCCAGAAATAAGATTTCTTATTATAAGCTTTATGCAAAAATGTGTCCAATTTACAAATTCTATTAAGATTATGCATAAGAAATTATAAAACGCCAATATGAAGATATGAATTAAATTTTCACTTTGTTACCAAGTGTATTTAAAAAAATATAGTGTACTTTAAATACACCACTTTGGATAAGTATATTAAACGTATTTTTATAATAACCAACAATTAAAAAGGTATTTGAAAAACAAATATGATGGAGTTCCACATGAAACTACAATGATTACTGAGAAAATTTATTAGATTTAACTTTAATCATCGGTAAAATAGGGAACTAAATTAGTGGAACCAAATGAAAAATTTTAGAATATTTTAATTTTTATGTAGCAATCTGTTAATCATTAAGAAATAAAATATTATTTAGTAGCTATCATGGAATTCGGAGAGCGAAGCGAGAAGGGATTGGTTACCCCTAGTCTCTAATCCCCCTCTTTTTGGTGCTTATAAACCATTCCCCGAAACTATTTCTGCTTTTTCAACATTGATTAGCTTAATTTAAGTAGGCTTATTTTATCACTAGAGTTTTTAAAAATAAGTTAGACTTTAGTTGAACAAAATCTATAACTTCATTTAAAATTATTCTATGATGTTATGACCATCGCATAGATATTAAATGAAATTTTAATAAGCATTATTTAATCTTATGTTGTGCTGTGCGCAAAAGAAAAAAAATGAACCACCCTGAATAACTTTTGATCTAATTAATAATTGATTTGAGGGGACCTCAAGTATGCTAATTAATAATTGTGTCCAAAAAAGTGTCGAGATATAGGGAAATACGCAGAAAAGAAAATTAACATTAAGGGGTCCAAACTTTGGATCGCTCTCCTGACCAAACTATAGGGACCATATTTCCAAGATTGCGGCTATCATTTATATTTTGGGTGCAAGAAATCCAGTAGGAAAAAAAGTATGTTTTATTCAGAGAAAATACGTTTTTGTGTCTAATTTCGTAAATTAAAATACCGTCTCCACTAATAAATGTACTTGAGGTCACTCCTCAAACCATTAAAATTGAGATCTAGAACATCATGATCCGATCAATTAGATCAAAAGTTATTCAGAGAGGATTTTAGTTATTAATTTATTTTGCGCACTGTACATGTGACAATAAAGATCTTTCTTCATGCATTAATGAATCTATATAAAGAAATATTTCCTTTAAAATAACAAAAGATAATTGCCCTGGAATAAATAATAATAAAAGAATGAACAATAATATTATGTACTAGAATGAGTGATAATAAAAGATAATTATTCAAGAATTATTTTTACTTTTGTTTGATTTTATATCGTGCGCATGAACTTAATTGATTGCTTAAAAAATTTAATAATGCCAAAAAGATGTGAAATATCCCTAAATAAAAAATATCGCACTAAAATAAAAATACAAAACAAAGAAACTGATTGTGTGAAGTTTTTATTTAGTTCGTTTGGAATCTTTGAAAAAATATCATAACTTTTATCCATCATATAAAGATATAAAAAAAAAACGTGAGCTTCTTATATGCATAATAAATTTTGCACCGAAATGTTTTTTTCACAATCCTCTAAACCACTACGATTTTCATTAAATTCATGTCAACAAGACATAATGAAATAGCTTTTTGTCAGTTCTGACATAATTAAAGCAGAGACTTTTTCAATTTGCCCAAATTAAGACAGTAAAAAAAAGTTGGAATTTAATTAGCTATCTCTCTTCGATTTTTTTTCCCCTGTGAGAGAGAAGAGCTCGATTAGAACTCTGAAATGTTATTCGTCATACGTAATATTCAAAAGTATAAAACCTTCTTCATGACACACTTTCTTTTTTTAAAAAAATTATCATAATACTAAAATTAATCTGCAGTCAGCTTTGATTATCATGAAATGTACTTCGGCAACACTCTTTGCACATATTTAATGAAGCAATACATTTTTGTATTAATGAAAGGAAGGAAAAATATTTAAAACACATATTAAAGAAGTGCAGCAGTAACAGGGAGAAAAAGGCAAAATCTTGCAGCGAAGCATTTAGTCTTAACCTACATCAGTGATTATCAAACTTATTTCTTTTACCGCCCCCTTTGAAAATCAATTATATTTCAGCGCCCCCATTTTTTATACACCCCTAAAACTTAAAAACCACAATTTCATTACTTTAATTAATTTAGTTATATGTATTAGTTGGTTCTGATGCTTAAACTTACATTCTAAACTGGAAATTTTTACCTGTGAGAGCAAATAAAACCCAACTTTATAATATTAACAATATATTTTAATCAAATTAAAAGAAACAATATAAATATATAACCAGTTTTTACACTAATCTAATGAGATGGATGAATTTGATGATATTTAATAAGTTTGTCGATGTCAGGTTCGATTTTACTCAAAAACAGTCGTAAATCGCCGCGTTTGGTAACTTGCAAATGATTTCTCTTTTTAGTAAGCAGCGTTGTCACAGCGCTAAATCCACGTTCACACAAATATGACGATGGGAATGCTATCAAAGATCGTTCAACGATAGACCACAATCCAGGGCACAACTGCGGAATTGACTTTTGTAGCCAAAATTGTTGGTAGCCATTTTTGTATTTGATTTTTATTTCCTCATTCGTTGTCAGTTCTATAAGTTCTTCTTCCAACTGGGGTGATATTGCTATGTTGACATTTGAAAAAGGATCTAACACCCAGTCTGGTATTTCCAATTTCAAAATGTCCTGGAATCTTTCAATGAAATCACTGTGAAGATTTTCCAAATGTTGGCAGTGGACGAGCAAGTCGTTGTTGTTGCAGGATACTGATAAATTAGGAAAATTATGGAACTCACATCTGCCGATATTCTTTTTGTGTAAGAGCAGCTTGGCTACGAAAGCAGCGACGACATTTTTTTGTTTTTATTGTCAAGTCATCGCCTTGAAGTTGGAGATTCATATCATTAAGCAATGTATAAGGGTTTGTCAGGTATGCGATATCATTCTTTAATGTGATGAGGTTTTCGCGCAATTCTGCGTCCTTGTTTTCCAAGAACTCTATGACAGAGTCAAACAGATTGTAAAAACGAGTCGGACAATTTCTTTTTGATAGCCAACGCACTTCTCTATGAAAGATCAATCTGTTGAAATCTTCATCATTATCAACACAAAGCTAATTAAATAATCTGTCATTTAAAGAGTTGTTTCGGATTTTATTGACTGCTCTGATGACATGTTGCAATGATTGAAATAGTCGTTCACTTAAATTTCTAGCAACTAAATGCTGTCGATGTCTAACGCAATGTACAGCAAGCACATCAGGAATTTTCTTTTTTAAGTACGATATGAAGGCTGGAGCACCATCTGTAGCAGCTGATATAATATTCTTCAACGGAATTCCTTTTTTATTACAAAACTTTTCCAGTGTTTTAAATACAGTTTCTCCTTTCGCGTCTGCCTCTAAATTTCTAGCAAATCAAAGTTCTTGACATATTTTTTCATCTTTAATAAATCTCACGTAAGACAACAACCATGCTTCATTAGTTAGTAAAGTGGACTCATCCAACTGAATTGAAAATTTACTAGTCTTCATATGATTGCACAATGACTTTTCAATGTTTTCAGCCATTTCATCAATTCGTCTTTGGACAGAACTATTGCTCAAAGGCATTTTTCGAATTATATCTGCCGCCGGTTTATGGAGCACAGTAGTTATAACTTCTTTTATTGCCGGCAAAATTAACGTTTCTCCGATGGTGTGTGGTTTACCTGTTTGAGCAATTAACAGAGAGATATTGTATGAAGCTCGAAGTCCGTCATCGTCATACTTAGCAGCCATCGAAAAAGTTTCGATACACTTGGCTGAGCATTATGCTTCTTTTCCAGATCTTGAAAATAGGCTACATTTTTGTCCTTCTTATCCGGATGCAATTTATTCAAATGATCCTGAAGTCTTAAAGGCTTCATCGCTTCGTTCTGGTGCATTGTAATTAAGGTAAAATTGCTCTAATTTTTTAACTATCATCGATCATGTTCCTTTATCTATCCGCAGAAACTTGTTACAACTTGATTGCATACGGTGCGCGGGCTATCCTACGAAATCTATGTTAAGTATTTTAAGTTTTTATAACATCATACAGGGTAGAAATGTAAACTAATTATTTGTTATTGTGTAGTAGGTGGGTTTTAATTTTAGTGAAATTTAAAATACTATATAAAGTAAATGAAATTACAAATTATACATCGCCCCCTCTAACCCACATCATCGCCCCCCCATTTTTTCTGGGCCATTTAACGCCCCCCTATAGGTTTCAAACGCCCCCAAGGGGGCGTTATCGCCCACTTTGAGAATGACTGACCTACATACACTCTATTACAAAAAAAATCGACGCACCAAGAAGGAGTTGTCCGATTGAAACGAAAATTGGTGGATAGGAAGACAATGTACAGAATAGTAAATGATTAAAATTTCAGAACAATTGAATAATTTATTGCAGAGTTACAGTAACAAGTTCAATAAGGTGTTGACCCGCCTCTAGCCTGGATACAAGCTGCCACACGGCGTGGCATAGACCGATAAAGCTCCCGGATGGTCTCTTGCGGTATTTCCTGCCAAATTCGATCCAATTGTCGAACGAGGTCATCAACATTCCGTGCCAGATGCAATCGCCTTCCCATCATATCCCAGACATGCTCGATGGGAGAGAGATCTGGTGATCTGGCAGGCCAAGGAAGAGTTTGACAAGCTTGCAGACAGTTCATAGCAACACGTGCCGTATGTGGTCTGGCATTGTCCTGCTGAAAAACCAGCCCAGGGCGCTGCAAAAGGAACGGTAGCAAAACAGGTCTTAGGATGTCGTCGACGTACCGCTGTGCAGTAAGTGTACCTCTAATGACGACCAAAGGGGTCCGGCTGTCAAAGGAAATGGCACCCCAGACCATAATGCCTTGTTGAGGGCCGGTGTGGCGTGCAATAGTGAAGGCAGGATCCCCCCTCTGCCCTGTGCGTCTCCAAACACGTCTTCGATGATCGTCAGGACGCAGTTGGAAGCGGGATTCGTTGCTAAAGACTGTTAGTCCCCAGTCGGCATCATTCCAGCCATATCTGTTCAAAACATTCATGCATACGAGATTTCAAAGCAATCGGATGATTGCTTCTTGGTGCCTCGATTTTTCTGTTATAGAGTGTATAAAGAAATGCAGCAGTAACAGGGAGAAAGTGGCAAAATCTTGAAGTGAAGCATTTAGTCTTAACCTATATATAAAGAAATTCAGCAGTAACAGGAGGAAAGGGACAATATCTTGAACCGAAGCATTTAGTCTTAACCTATATACTCTTCGTTAATAGAATAGGTTGAGGTCTCAAGGGGTACCATGGTAAAGGAGAGATTTTTCGCTCTCCGTTACCATGGTTTCAAAAAATGTTGCTCGTTCACCATGCTAGTATATAACAGCTTCTTAAAAAAACATATTGTTTTATTTCATTTTATAACCAGCGTTGAATATCCAACCCAAATCTGAGTTTCCGACTATCACTGATCAATTGCGTAGCCTTGTAATTTGGAACTCAACCTAGAAGACAAGGGAACTCTTGGATTATGCATTGGGTAGGACAAACTACCCCCCGTGGAAGACTTTTTGCCCAAACTTACTCGCATTTGCGTTGCGTGAAGAGGAAAACTGTTATAGCCTCTTTAATTAGCCCGATGATTAACCCATGATCCGTCTACCATTGAGGATATTTTATGTTAGCACTGTGGTCGGTGCAAGATGGGAGTGGATTTCGTGCCAATCAGCCACTGCTAAGATTCGAACCTGGTTCAGATGAATGGAATCAAACGCTCTATTCCCTGAGCCACCACGGCTTGAAACATATAGTTCTGGGGACAAAGCTAATTTTTCGTAATCATGGTAACGGAGAGGAGGAAAATGTGGAGAATGGAAAAATCACGTAATCTTGAGATGCCTATTTTATTTACAAGGAATACTGTAAGGTGTAATTGCTTGTTTATTTTAATTATCCATTTTGAAGGATTATTACTTATAGAATATAAGCTAATGTATTAAAATAAAATAACCTAACGAAAGGAGGACAGTAGTGGTAAGAATGAAATTTTACCTGATTTAAATCCAAAAATTTTAAACTTTTAATCTAAAACTTTTCCATCATAAACCTGTATGTAAAGGAAAAGTAGTCCTACAAACTATTCATTCCTATTTCATTCAATATGTAGTTTTTAAATGGTCAATTCGATAATATTTATCGTAAGTGAAAGTAATAAAAAATAAGCTAAGGGACAGCGCATTTCTGGTGAATTATGAAAATATAAATAGGCTAACATAAAATTTAGTATACATTTCTAATAACTTCAAAATTTAGCTATAAAAATATTAAACATGCTTTGTTATGACATTGAAAATTTGCTTTAACAGGGCCTGAAGTTGCATAAGGACTGGAGACAGCAGTATTTTACGCATTTAAATTGTGATAAAGTCATAATACATATTTATCTGTTAGTCATAAAGTTTATGATATAAAACATAATGCTTTTAAAAAGTGTAATTAAAGGATTTTAATTTTTTTCTTCATAAAATGAAATGCTTGTAAAAAAAATAAATTGAATAAAATCAAATTTTATTGTTCTATATAAAAGTCTTGTATAATTATTGTTAATATTGTACAACTGAAATTATTTTCGAAAAAATGTTTTCACTAATCTGCTTAATTACTTTCTTATAATAAAATTCGATTTTTGCTAAAATATTTTATCGTCGATTTGGGGAGAGAGAAAAAACAAGTTATCTAATTATGCTGTGTTCTTAGTCATTTGAAGTTTCGACCGGTTTAGAGCCAAGTCAAGTTCATTCATAACAGTTTTGAGTCGGAGAAATAACTTTGTCACATTTCTTTTATATTTCAGTAACTTTAGTGAAAGGAGCTATTATTATCATTTTACATTGATTGAAATGAATTGAACAAAAATGATGAAGTAGACACCAGCACTATTTAAGTTTAATTATTTTTGGAATAAGAATAATTTTTAATTGAATAATTTTTAATTAATTTTTTAATTTTAAATAAAAATGGTATATTTCCAAATTAGTCTTTCTGCACAGTAAAAACATAACTTTTGAGACAAAGCATATTTTTTAAATAGAAATAAGGTCACATCATTTAAGAAAAATGTGATTGAAATCTTAAGAACATCGAAAAGCACGTAAAAAAACACAAATGATGCCATGTGAACAAACAATTATTTGTGCTTGTTTCACGTTAGTTAGCTTTATTCATATTTTGCAAAAAATAAAAATTTAAACAAAATTCACCTCCATAATGACTTTCTTACTTTATGGTCCCTAACATATGAAGTGGATTTGAGGAAATTACATTCATCTCCCTAACTTTGGAAGCTCGAACGTTTCTTAAAACGCTACCTAATTGGATAAATTCTCCTTTTTTACGTGAAATATCGCCATCGTTCTTACTGAGAGGGAAAAACCTTTGATGATTTTCCCTACGGTTCCTACAAAAACTAGGTTCTAAACTTCAGTCTACCACTCTTATATTAAAAGATGTGCGTCGATGCAAGTCGACAGCAGTATAATAAACCAATCATTATCCGGATTACAGAACAATGAGGAAAAAAAGGAAAAAGAAAAATAATAAAAGTAATAATCTGGGGGGGGAGGGGGAAACGAAAGAAAGGAAGAAAAAAAAATTTAAAAATCAGGAAAATAAACGACATAATTTTTTCATCAGCTGACACGATTATATCCGCAAAAAGAAGTGCTTTCTAATATTGTATCAATATAGCCAAAGCAAAATACATCAATACAATAGTGGGAGAACTTATCAGTGTAAATAGTATAATAGTGCAGAAATAAAACTTATTGTTTTCCTTAATTTTCTTCGTTCTTTTTGTCCTTTTTCTGCTAAAAGATATTCTATAAATGACGTGGCACTCCCGATCTAAAATAACATATTCATGCATTCGTGACCTTGTAATTCTGAACTTATCTCAGGAAACACTTAAACTAACAGATCAAATTATGAATATAACTTGATACTCTCGACTAAATCATGAATCAAAGATCCATCTAATGTCCTGTTTATAAGGTGAAAATTCATGAATGTGAATTCTAAAGGGTGCTTTTTCATTACACGACGCGATACCGACAAAATCGGGCAACAAATGTGTGAACGACAATGTCGTTGCCGGATCGTTCAAGCCATGGCAAACAAGGATGGGACATAAAGTAGGTATTCTTTGGCCAAGGTTCAAGCAATTGTTTTTTCGCTTGTCCGATATCGTTCTTCCGAGAAGTAGAAATTCTTTATTCAATAATTTAAGCTTGAGTGAAGAGTTGTTTGTGTTCTGCTGCGATTTTTTTCTGCAAACCTTAAATATGGCGGATGATAATCGTCGTCTCAAACTTCTATACTTACTTTATTTTAGAAGAAAAAAGCGAGCAGTTCAGAAATGTTTTGGGGTGCACGAAATGGTACTTACGCATTAACGCCACCTCAGCTACAGATTTGGCGGTCTTTAAGTACCGCCAAGCTACACCTGAAATTTTTGCGACAAATCATAAAATAAAACATTTTATTTAAAATCGAAACACTTTCAAAATTCAAAACACTTTATTTAAAATCAAAGTAGTCAATCGGATTTCGGTGGGAAGAGGGCCGATATGAAGTTTAACATAGATTCAAAACACTCTCTATTTTCTTTCACCTGATGCTGTCCCCATATGAACTCTGATAAATGAGATTCCAAATGATGTCTCGCTGTCCCCCTGTGTCTCTTGTTCCTCCATTTTAGCACTGTCCCACAATCT